CACACACACACACACACACACACACACACACACACACACATCTCTGTCTCTCTCTCTCTCTCACACACACACATCTCTGTCTCTCTCTCTCTCTTTCTCACACACACACACACCACACACACACACACACACACACATGCACACACACACACACACACACACACACAGAGTCATATGCAGGAGGGTATCATGGGAGACCTTGTGTGTGCTTAACACTGTTGCGAAATCAAACCATCAGATGCGTCACAATTTGTCAAGATGAGGATCATTCTTTAGATCTGACTAAATGAGTGTTGCATGCTGGCCCTACAACTTGAGTCTAGGAAGGAATACGGGGTACTATGGGATCACTGGTCACTCTCCCAAACATCTTTCCCCTCCGAAATGCATTTTGTTTTGTTTTCCATGTCATCGATAAGAGAGGCCGGATTGAATTCTGAGTGTTGACGGCTAGACAGCAGGTTTGGTTGTACATAACAAAAAAAAGGACTTCCAGTGTTTTTTTTTTTTTTTGAAAGGAGTGACAGCCTTGTGATGTCATCATTGAATCGCCGAGCGGGCCCTAGGTATTCAGAGTTCTAGTATTTTGACTGATTGAACTCTGAACCTGGTCTGTATTTCAACAGCTCCAGCCTTCCAGGGGTGTGCACCCACGGAGATTGGCCTGAGGTCGCATCATTCTTTGCTCTGTAACATCGTTCTTTCCTCGTCTCATCGACTGGGTAGAGCATCATTCTCCACACTGTAGCTCATATCATGAGCCTCGTGCTCTCCACTCTGTAGGTGTTGGGCCCCCAGCACCTGCTCTGTGATGCAGTGCATCAACTGAGAAGTAAGGTAGTGTCTTTTACCGGTGCCAGTGGCGTTTGAGATTTCCAAGATCACTTGGTGGGCCAGCCAAGGCTGGTGCTAGGCCAACTTGTACAGCAAAGGAGGAGACTCAGGAGAGGTAAAAGCACCCCAGTGCCTGGCCATGGAGGTCGGCGCTGGCCGGTTGAGTCTATATCCTTGGCTGTGCTTCCCATCTGGCAGATTCCCCCTCCCTCCTCTGGTCATTGTTGTTGCAAACAACACCATCAATTCATTTCAATAAATTCAATTTATACTTTGAAACGAAAGATTGTGCACTGCTGAAGTAAGGCAAGGCGATATGCGGAAAGGCGACAAGAAGGCGGCGGGGGCGGCGCGAGGGGGGGGGGTATCAAACCCTTGTCAATCTTGTCTGTTGTTGTCAACATCGTCACGTTCTTCAGTGCCCCTTCTTGGTTGGGGATTCTTTCTAAAACGGTCTCCTTCTGAGGAGAGGCAATGTACATATCCGTCCCTCGGATGCGTTCCTGCCAAGAGTTCCTTCACATGTAATGTCCTTCTTCCCTCTCCTGTTTCCCCCCCCCCCCCCCCCCCCCCCTTTACTTCCCCCTTCCCTCACACCCCCTCCTCCACACGCCCCAACCCCACCCAACCCCTCGATGCCAGAGACATCGCTACCAGGGAAAGGAAAGGCACAACGTTCGCTACACTGCACAATTCTCACTGAAGAACAATGCAGGACCTCCGGGCTCGCCGGGCTGTAACACGGGGAGGCATAGGAGTGGGTTTTGTGTGAAAGACTTGCCAGTGGAATGGAACTGGACCAAAGCTTGCAGAACAGACGGGCAACAGCCCAAGAGGGCCTGTCTTGAAAAAAAATGCACCACCTTTCTGAAGTTATGAACACTTCACGGCAACCAAACTGACAGGCGTGTGCAGTAGGAGATAGCGGACATATATGATTCTTATGTTCGCTTCCAAGTCCGAACTCGAACGTCAACATATAGATGACATGCCTTTGTGCCCTAACTGGATACAGCCATGAACTTTCACCTGATAGCTCCACATCCACATATATAAGATGGAATTCTCTTGTTGTGCGACCTTGCTGAATTCTGCATCTGCTTTTTGGTTTCACATAGCAGCTCCCTGCTCTGATGATGATCCCTTCTTCTAACCCACTACTGCCCCCTGGCCTCTTTTTGACTGAGCTGGCACTTCAGTCAGTTGCAGGTCTACTCGATACCCCCCCCAACGCCCGACCATTTACTGAATCTGTTGACGTCGACAGTGGCACCCTCCTTGTACACAGCTGCAATCCATGCCGATTCCACGGGGCTCATCGTAGGCAGTGGGACTTTTCAAGGAAACCTCAGACGGAACTAATAGCGACCTGTCCCCATTTCCAACACTGGCTACAGAGATCCTGCCTGCAATTTGTCACGATTCGAACCACCCTCGCCTCTTTAAACCGCCACTACCTCCGATCCTCTTTTTGTCGAGGTGGAAAAGACCTGCGCGCCAAGCCTTGCGGAAGCGCCAGCATGATTCTTTTTTTTCTTTTTTTGTGGCTGACACTGCCAGCCATTTTGGTCCGATAGAGCTGTTCACCCGAACTTTGTGGCACGGTGTCAAATTGGTGTTTAGAGTTTCCCTGTGAAGACTTGGCTCTTGTGTCCAAAGGTCACCGGTTCGAGTCCGTGCTAGCGCAGAGGAGGTCTTCAGCCCAGATGTGCGGATCCATAACTGCTGCGGAAAGCTCCCGTGAACCTTCAGGCAGTCCCGCGTGTGGTGAGCGGGCAATTACTGGTGGGGTTCGCGTATTGCTTGAGCGAAGTGTGTGAGAATCGCTGTCTCCGTGTGTTGTCTGTGGTGCACGTTGAGTTGGACACACTACAGCCTTGCGGGGGTGGGGTGGCTGTCATGGCTGGTATGATTCTGCTTTTGAACACCGTGTCCTGCCTGTAGTGGTTAAGAGACTTGGCTCTTGAGGCCGGGGTCGCCGGTTTGATTCCGTGCAAACGCAGAGGAGGTCTTACGCCCAGATGTGCGGATCCATAACTGCTAGCGGTGGTTTTCCAGCGCAGACATTGTGACCTTGTGACTTCATCTTTGATCCGTCTCAATTTGTTATTCACTTTGTAAATTCGTACTCAGCCAGAACAATCATGTCACAATGTCTATCCTGTCTCAATGGTACTCAACAAATTGAAACACTGAGGTAAGGCTGCATATGTGACAGAGCAAGGAACGGAAAGAACAAAGAAGGAGGGGAGGGGGGGGGGGGGGGGAGAACAGAGATGGGAGAGGAGGGAAGAACAAAGAGACAGG